TGTGTATAAAGAATGACTAATATTAAGCTGAGCATGGGAAGACAAACACCACATGATATTACTTTATGTGAAATCTAAAACTCTTTAAATCATAGAAGCATAAAGTAGACAGATGATTATAGAGACTGGGAGGGGGAGGAGGAGATGAAGATATGAGGGTCAAAGAACAAAAAAATCTTGGACAAGAGGATTATGTTTTGTTTTTTGGGTTCCATTGCACAGTGTGGTAAATACAGTTAGTTGATAATGGAATATTGTACATTTCAAAATCACTGAAAAAGTGATTTCAGATGTTATCACAGCAAAGAAATGTACAGTACCAGAGGTAATGTACATATCAATTAGCTTGATTTAATTACTCTACATTGTTTTTATAAATTATTACTATTGTTATTCATGTTATTTTAATCGGGGTCTCTGTCACTCAGACTGAAGTGCAGTGGCAAAATCATGGTTCACCACAGCTTCAGCCTCCTGGGCTCAGGCCATCTTTCTGCCGCAGCCTGCTGAGCAACTGGGACGAGGTGTGTGCACCACCACAGCTAGCTAATTGTTTGTTTTTTGTCTGTTTGTTTTTTAAGAGAGATGAGATTTCTTTTTGCACAGACTGGTCTCAAAGTCCTGGGCTCAAGCAAACCTCTTGCCTTGGTCTCCTGTAGTGCAGAGTTGCAGGTATGAACCACTGTCACCAGTCTATCTTCATAAATTATAGCATCAATTTGTACCTCCTAAATTTATTCAATTATAAATTGTCAAATTACAACTAAAATAAAGAAATAATATCATGGAAACATCTCATAAGGAAGATTGATAAATCCTTTTAACATGAATGACTTGTATATAGAGTAAATAAGTTTCTACTCTAAAATTTCCAAAGTAAGAAATAGGAGTACATTCTCTTACTTTCAAATAAAAAATGTGTATAAAATTATTTATTTATTTATTTATTTATTTATTTATTTATTTATTTATTATCACTGAAAACTGTAAAGTAAACCTCCAAGTTTTGGGATGGGGTAAAAATACATATCAATTTATGGAAGAAAAAGCAATCCTGAATACAGTTATAAAACAGTCACCAATATATTTCATTTGAGTTATAAAATGTAAAAATAAAGATGTATAAAGATGTAAAAATAAAGATAGAATATCTTTAAGTTTTTGAGTCCTTTGAAGTAGATGCCAAATACGATAAACAGATTTTCTCTGAGTAATTAAATGTGAACCGTTCAGTGTAATCTGGATGAGTGACTGAATGGAGAAAGAGAATGTCTCTTTCCCCCTAAAATGTTAAATTATTTAAAGTATGCACCCACTCCAAATTGCCAATGGGTAGTAAGATATTTAACATATGTTTTGGACAGAGATAATGTTTTTATATAGAATAAATCCTCTCTTTATTTTTTGAATATGACAACCCTAACATTATTTTGTTTCTTAATATATAGGAGGCAGTTAATTCATATATTTCTAAGATTTGGGATATTTAACTCATACACTTTTTTCTTTTTCATTTTTTCCCATAAAATATATCTCAATGATATAATGCACGTCACCTAATCTCATACAATTATATTTATGAGTTAAGAATTGTGGGCTTTAAACATTAACTTAAAAATGCACACATTAATTTATATACACACACATTATATATACACACAATGGCACATTGCCTTATATCTTCAAAATAGTTTAAATTGTATTACATATAATTGGCTTTATTAAGTCCATTTTCCATAAAATGATATGACTTTTTTAAGTAACTGATGTATTAAAATTATCATTGGAGTATACACACAAATTTGAAATTAACTGTGAATAGACAAATATATAGACAGGTACATGTATAAGTACATTATATGCCCCTGTGCTTATTTACTATTAGGCACTACATCTAGAGTCAAATCCTTATATGCCTATAGAGTTGGTATATTCTCTTAGAATTAGATACAGGAAGAAAATAAATCAATAAAAAAAGACCAATGTTTTATATAGCTTCCCAAATAAAAGTTTTATTTAGAAGGAGGGGATTTCTATCCACCTGAAAGGCGATGTTGTAACCCATTTATTTTTCATCAAACACTACGGGAAATAGTTATATTTTGCTTTGCCAGTTCAAGAGCAATTTCAAGCACTGTCAAGAAGTATTTACTTAGTGACAAACAACACTACTTTGCTGCAAATTCAAACAGAGATGTATCTATATTCTTTTTCTTTATTCTAGTTGTGTTTTATTTTTACCTCTATATTTGACATTATTATATCTTTATCAAAGAGATCATAGATTCTGCACTAGATATTTTTTAGGAATAAAATAGATGGCAAATTCTGAAACAGTTTAGCTACAATACAACTTAAAGGCAGAAAAATGATGATATTTCTTATTTCCTATGATTTATGTGTAGATTACTCATTTCCACAGGAATGATATTTCTGAATTTTACATGTAGATAAAATTGCCTAGGTTATTTTAAGCCATGACTGATGTGCTAAAATCATTCTCACTTTAATATACTATCTTGCAAATTTGCAAATTTCATTTATCATGTAATCCTTAGAATTAAAGTACAGAGAAAATGTTAAAAAGCCACTCTCCTAAAATAACATTTCAAATTTGACAGATATGACAAAGCAGGATTTCTGAAAATTATGTTTTGCTTTAATCTTACGACATACTTTGATGATTCTGAATATAATTATCGAGTAATTAATGTGACAAATTTTGACAAAAAATATTTGTGCTTTAGTAATTCTAGAACAATTTTAAAATTGAGATAGGTATTATCTTAATGACTCATATCAGAATATTCAAGACGGTATGCATCATCTGAAAAAGAAATTGATTTGTTAGACTTTTTAAAAAACAGATTTTAGAGCATTTGACTATATTCTCTCAATTGAATGATAGTGAGAATAGTTAACAGACTCGTTAAGGTTATGTTTTGTCTTGTTATATGATATTAAAGTGGCAATCATCTTTCTAGTCACTTTGGCAAAGATAACTCACTTAGCAAATTAGGGAGCTATCCTTGACGTTGATAGAAAGAAAGGAACCCTGGGGTTACTGTTCAGTTTCATGCTTATGTATATTTCAATCTCAATCTGGTATGCCAAAGCAAAGATACAGCTCTTAGAATATCAGAGCTATTAAAATATATCATCATAACAAAAAGTATAAAAGTTTAATTTTTTCTTATTCTACAGCATGGTTCTCAAACATTTGGTTGGTAGCAATAAATCCCAATGTGAAGAAGATGCATGGAACGATCCATATCTCCTTTTAAACAGTGTGACACATTTATACCTCTTGAATTGCTACTCAACAGTATGTTGACTGCTACTCTATAAGACTTTCAACGTAACATAATATTTAAGAGTACTTGCTAAGATCATGACTAGCAAAAAATATCAGTTTATATTTGATGGTAGATTATCATTTATCAAATTATATATAGCTACATCATGAGCTGAGAGATGGGTCTGATTTCTTAAGAATTCATAGGAGGGATTTGTGTAGTTCATTTTAAAGCATTTTCAATTATAATTTAATCAGATTAGCTTTCTTAAAAGTTTCCTTAGAAAAACATCTTGCAAATATTACAAAGTGAAAAACAAAACAAAAAATATAAGTTGATGTTATATGCTTTATTACATCTACAAATTGGGTGTGTGAGTTTTTTTGTTTATGCATGGGATTGCATAAAAGTAACAATTTTCACTAAGACATAAGAACATACTAAAATATGAGACTGCAAAATGCAGATACAATTTAGATAATGATCTGATGCATTCCATTGGCTTTTTGAGTCTTCATAAAGTGGAACACACATGTAAAGGGAGAAAATCAGGTGATTTCTAAATTAAATAAATTGGTTGTTTAAAAACGTGAATAATTGTAGAATTTTAATTTTGAAATACATATTCCTTTTGAAAACACTTTTACTAGTTGTTCAATTTGATAAATAGAAATGTTTACATTATACTGAAAATTAAATATTTTCAAATTTAAAATGTATATATGCACACTTGTGATAATAAATATTTAGAATATTCATGATTTGGAGTAATAATATTATATATATGCATAGCATTGTAATTTATATTATAAATATATCCAAAATATAAACATATATCACAAAATTTTCAAATATTTTATCTAAAATATGCCTTTCTTATAGATATATTAATTCAACAAATGAATTCATAGAGATAAAGTAAACATTTTTAATCTATAGGAAATATTTATTCTATTTAGATATCTTTTGTTGCTACATAATCTTTGTATTTTTATATTTTCATCATAGATTTACTAATTCCCTGTGGTAAATTTACTTTAAAATATTTTATTATAATTAGTAATCCAGTTAAAATTACATGCACCACATTACAATTGAAATAATAATAAATGTTTTTCACACTTCGCATTTTCTTAATTTTTACTGTCTTTCATATTTTATGAATTAGTCTTTTTATTACATATAATTGCTGTACTACATATTCAAATTAGTATGTTGTACATAATTGGAAGCACACATATTTGTATTTATAATATTTTACTTTTACTAGAATTATCTTCTTCATTACTCTAACGTTTTCATTTTGAATCTAAATAGTTTTTCATATACTTAAAGATGACCACTTAATTGTCATATTTCATGATAGTACAGAGGTAATTACATAATAAATGAAAAAACAAAATCCTGGACAAAGAAAAAGTTGCAAAAGAAGGCAATGCATTCCTTCCTAGAAACTTAAGTTCTAAATATCCTAAAATATGAGCAACTATTTCCTCCCCTCAAACTATGCTACAAAGATGGAGAATGGTTCTCACAATTATTTGTTTCAAAAGAGTTCAGTACACATGTCATGACTTTAAAAGCTTTTGATTATTTTCCTTATAGTGTTCAAAATTAGCAACAGTTTGCCAAGTACCTGATTGGCCATCTATTCGTTGAGATGACGTACGAAATTTATAATATGCTTGATTATCTCACTCTTACCTGTGTAACTTCAAGTTCTAGAGTTCTGTGAAAACTGAAATTCAAACTTCATGTTAGACACAAGCGGAGAAGTAGGAAACACATTCTTATTTTGCTTCACAGTCTTCTCAGCAAACTTGCAATGTGCCACATGGCCCTGAGTAACAGACGCTTGTGCTTCTAGTGCCACAACACTGTCAGTATGTCACTGCTTTCTGAATGCTATTTTGGGTTCTCTGAGTAGAGCCATGAACACTGAACCCTTTGTCCAAAATATCATAAGGGCACTCTGATGTTCGCCCCTAGCTTGGAATTGAAATGCTGACAGCTAAGAGCTGATTATCGTTTCTTTTTTCTTTTTCCCCACAACAAGCACAAAGAAAATAAAGTATTTATTGGCTTGAGTTGATAGGAGGGAATTCAACTTATTTAGGAGAATTTTGTAAGTAGGGAGGACATGCCCTCTGCTTGGGGATTAACTGATGAAACAAATGATCAATTTAAAGCAGGCACAAGCGTTCTAAAAAGAGAAAAGATTTTCCACTGTGTGTCTATGCCTTCTGGCTGTTTCTTAATTCAGACATTTCTCCTCAGGAATCAAGCAAATTACATAATGACAGGGCAGTGTCTAAATTATAATAAATATTTTCCTTGGTTTATTTTTTCCTAACATCCTTTTTATTTTATTTATAACTTTAGTTATTTTGTTATACAATATTTATTGTTATTTATTGTAAAATACATAATTTTATTCTCCTTGCCATTAACTCAAGCTGTTTTGGTTTAAAAATATTTTAAAACCAAACTAGAGATATGTTAAATAATAATAACAGTGGCTTAAATTATGATTAATTCCTTTAAATAATATTTTAAGGTTTAAATATGCATTATTATGAGAAGGCAGCTCCAATTTTAAAAATATACTTGAGTCATAGGACTCCAAATTGGGACAATAGGCATGATCATTTTTTAAAAATCCAAACAAGCAAAGGCTACTAGAAAACAGATTACATTATAGCTAGTGGCTAGTAAGAGTTAGAAAAATCATGGGATTTCTGATTTATAGTTATTTCACTTTGAATTCATAAGAAATCAATTTTATTAGTTATTATGTAACAAACAAATGTCAAGTTACTCTGGAATGTATAGGAAAACCAAACAAAAATTGCTTTTATCCATTAGCATTCTACATAGAGTGCTGCTTACTAAATCCATTTATACAAAACTCTGTTATCCCAATTTTTCAGTCGGGTACAGTTTATTAAGATTTAGTAATATCCACAATTTATATATGATTTGTAAATTTTCACAGCCACAACTGTTTTTTTTTAATGTGTGTGGATGTGCATAAAGATAGCTTATTTCTAATCTCTGTGTCTTAATCCATAAAAACTCAAAGATGCTCATTTCCACAGATAACATATTTTTGCCCTTTTGAGAAAACCCATTTAAAACTAAATATCCTGTCTCTGCTCTCCCACTCAGAATTTGTAATTTTCTATGATAATTTACATATTGCCCTTACACCAAAGGAAGTGTCTGTGTTTCAGCTCGTCCCTATCAGTTTTCTCCAAGTAAATGTAGCCCTTCATAATTATGACCAACCCTTATCTTGGTTCCATCTGACCCTGTGATTATTGTACTGAATTTTACTGTGATTGAAAACTTCTTTCCCTCATCCCAGCCTCTATTGGATTCATTATATTGTTTTTAGCTAGCTTTAAACCCTTGAAAATGAGATGGGAGGAATCTTTTAAGTTGATTGTTTCATGTTGTACTTATGTTCACATATCTAGTCGGGTCCTTAAATCTACCCTGTTACTTTCATAGAGGAGTGTCCAACCTTTTGGCTTCCCTGAGCTGTGTGAAATAAAAATGAATTGTCTGGAACTGCACATAAATTATATAATATAGTTCATGTGTATATATAATAAGACTTCTTTATTTAAAATTGTTTATTATAAAGTTTTTAAAAAATGAGAACAATATAAAATGAGTGGGAAATTTGACCTTGCTTTTGTAAAACTAATCTGTTAATGTCTATTAATGTTCCTTAATTCAGACATTTCTCCTCAGGAATCAAGCAAATTATACAATGGAAGTGATTGCAATTCTTCATGAGTTCTCAAGGTGCTCTTCAGAAATATATGTTCACATTTTGCTCTTCCTGTGCTTCACAATTGAAAACAGCAATAGTATGTTTTCACAATTGTATATGCTGCCAAAAAGCAGTGCCATGAATGAGGCATGATTGTGAACTTTGAAAAAGGAAATACGCATGGGATCGCAAATAAAATAAATGCTGAATAACACATGATGTTATAAGATTTTGTGGGACTGCTGTATTTGCTGTCCTGGGCAGCATGTGGCCTGTGGGCCATGGGTTGGACGTCTCTTCTCTCATACTTTGTAGCTCTGTGTGCACCACAACCTCACTAGGAGTCTTAGTGAGTTGTCCTATTCTGAGAAACCAAGCAATGGCTTCTGGCTTTCAGAAACCATAAACAAATGTTAAGTGTTTGACAAGATTTGATTAGAGAAGGCAAAGTTTAGAAGAAAGCACAACTGTTTTACTGTACCCTTTTTAACTGTTATATTTTTCCAAGTTCTACCCAATTCCCTTGGATAATATGAAATTTAGAAGAGATACGATCATGCATCCTTTTTATAAACATTCTGCTCCATGTCCTACACCTTTTCTTAGCGTGAAATCTAGGTCTCACAAAGTCGTCAATACTGTGTTCCACCTTCTTCAAAGTTGGAAAGTAAAACAAAAATAATATCAATTGGAAGAATAATGATAATAATTTCACATAAATAAGTTTTTTAACATCAACCTTTTGACTCTTAAAACTATGTTTTGTTCCGTACACACACAAAAAAAGATAAAAATTTGAGTGGATGGATGCCCCAATTGTCCTGTTTCTATCAAAATATCACATGCTTCCCAGAAACTTGTGCAATCATTATGTACCAAAACATATTGATTTTGATGTACATCTAAAATAACATCAGTAACTCAACAATTTATTATTTTTGGCTACATACATCTATCCTGTAACTGATTCAGTAGATGAAAGCCATCAAGAAAGATACCGTCTTGGTAAAATCTATCTGAAAATGTCCTTCAATTAATTTGGAAAGGGTTCACAACTGTAAAGGATTTTAATCGTTTCTATAAAGAGCTGTTGAGAACATTACCTTAAAGTTCTAATGGAGGATACATCACTAGTCTGTATTTGCCAGATCCTTGACTTCCTCCAGCTTTGGGAAAAATTTTAGACACTTGCCTTTGAGAAAGGAAAAACTGAGGCTAGGTGAGACAGTGCCAGGACTGCGGGAATAATTGCAAGATTGCAACTATGTAAGAAATAGAAGAAAGTAAATTTTATTATTTACCTTTCACAGATTGGACAGAAGGCTGACACTCAGAGGCAAGTATGACCTCCAAGGGTCAAGAACTAGGAATATTTAAGGGTCTTTGAGGTAAGGGGGGTTTGGACTTGGGGTGGGGGTGGAGGTCTAGGCCAAAAGGAGTGTCCAGTGCTGTTGATGTTGATTGCAATCACATTAGTCTTGGATCATGACATTGTCAGACATTAGCATCTCATACCCTCAAGTAATGGGCTAGCTGGGAGGAGATGATGGGAGGAGTTTTTCCTGAAAGACACCTGTCAGGTATTTCCAATCCACAAGCTCCTTAGCAAAAAAAAGGTGGTATTATTATCATTTCTACGGCTTCAGCCAGCCATGGGGTGATCTTTGACCTTCTGCCTTCGACAAGGAAACTAAAAGTTTCTTAGAGATTATTATACTAAATCATGTATTGAAAGGTTGGGCTATCCTTGTCTTGCATCTGATGGAGATTTGCTGAAGGGGTGGAGTAGGCTGCCAGCTTGGCAGCAACAGAATGTCTGAACACTTCCTAAAACCTGCTTATTGGAAATTTTTCTATGACTAACCTGTGTTAGAGTCAAAGCGTGTCTGTCTAAGCAAAAATGGTTATGCTGAGTCAAAATGTGAACTAAGTTTATTCTAAGTTTCTCAGGGTCCCTCCTTTCATTTCCCACTTCTTGCTATTTCAAAAATATTCTTATTTGCAACTAAGGAGAAGGGATGGAGGTCAGACCGACAGTTTTCTCTTACCAGCGTTTACCTGTTTTAAATTCTCTTGTCCATTATTATTTCCTACAATTTAAGCTACAGCTTAATTATATGTCTGTAATGTTTTTCAATGTTTTCTTTTTCAAACATTGTCAAAGTAGCTCATTATTAACAAAACCCTCGTAACTGTCTATAAATTCTTATCACAAAACCCCAAAAACTTAAAGACAAGCTGCAGGGACAGACACATATGGAATGAAGAATTCACTGGTGCAATAGTAAGAAAAACTGCCTGGACTACTGTTGTGGGTGTCGTGTCCACTAGGGATATATATAAGTATATACATATACTTATAAGTATATTTTGCCAGACCTCAATATGTTATAATGGTGATTATTATGGCCTTTATTATAGTAAAATTAATTCTAATAGTATACACTTGTACACAGATCCTAATTAACAACTCCATGGACTCCTGTTCTCTTAGCCCTTCCTCTTGCTCTAGGAAGGTATGGACATCTCTACACACCTCTTCACCAGGAAGCAGCTACAGAAACGTGATCTTGGTCCCTGTTCCCAAGTACAAATAAGAATATTTTAAAATAACAATGGGGGAAATGAAAGGACATAACATGGATTTAATATACCCAAGGAGTAGCCACTTTAACACTGCCTAAATTTCATGGTTTTCTAGCAGTTCACTTAACTTATCCTCTAATTATTAGCCAAGGACAGAACCTGTTTCTCAGATGTACCTATTGAAAATTGTTTTACAACCCCTCCCCAGCTTGTTTTGTATTAACTAGCTTTTATATTTCAAGTATTTGTCTCCACCCATAAAGCACAAGTTAACCTAATCAGCCCTTTGTGATCTATATGACACAGACAGACCCCAGGACCATGACAGCAGTCATGTGACTAACCCACTCATCTGCTTGCTGTCTATCACCTGACATCAGTACCTGCACTTACTTGCCCCTCTGTGATGACATGGAGTAGACCACTACCCAATCACCTTAATGATCTTCCTCCATCAAAAGGAAGGATTAAAAGGACTCAACCACAAGCACC